CGCACTACATTTACGATCAACAATATCCACAGCTAGCTGGAGCTAGACCTATGATGAGTCTATGGTAGTGGCTGCAGCCAGTTCCCCCTAAGAGTCGTGCGTAATTTCAAGCCTCAGCCAAGTGATTCGGATGCGGCCACCGGCTTGGTAAATATATGCTTGCGACGATCACGCGCTTGGTGTGATCGTCGAACGAAACTTTTGTTCTCAATGCTGAATAGAATCAAAGTCCGCTTTTCTAACAACATTGTAAAAATGGAGATCATGCAGACGGATCCTCAGTTACAAGGCAGGCCACGAAGTTACGATGACTCCCTTGACAGAATCAATTCCAGCGGCAGAACTTCGGAGGACGACTGCACAGCAAACCCCGCTCGTCCCGTCAGTTTCACCGGAAGTATTCAGTGCAGTATGACAGAGAGTGAACGTATTGACGTTTGTGGTAAGAACTCAATCTGTCCCATTTTCAGACACCTGTAGCACCTTTGACCCTGGGAATATTTCCTTGCTGAGGGGCATTCATGTGATAACGGAGAAGGACATGAAGGACAAAATGCAGCGTCCTCCTGTCATTGTCATGCCTGTGTTATTAACTTTATTCTGTGATGTCTGTCATGTCTAATATTTATAATACTGCTTAGGCTAGGCCTAACAAGACAAATATAGTCTAGGCCCTGAAGTTATAAGTTGTAACGTGCTTAACCGTATAGTTGGCAGGGCTCTTATTTCCCTACGCACTGTGAAAACCAATCAGACTTGACAATAGGTGGCAAATTAGAGACCTGGAGACTACTGTCACACACGTTAGTTCACTGAGTCCGTCATGTCAGTAGTTGTGTAACAGGACAATGTACCAGTCGATTATGTAGAAGTGCATAATGGGAAGGCAAGTCTCATGGTTTGTCAAGATGGCTCCCGTGAGTTGACTTACACACTGGAATAAATGTGGTTGTTGTTAATTGTTATAAATATGTAATGAGCCTCCACTGATGTCTCTCATTATTCCCATGGCCATCCAAACCTGTGGCGATGGTACATGTGTACACCGTTACACTGGCGTAGTCGGCAGGATGGCATGTGTAATGGGAGATTTTGATGGACTGTTTTTGACCTGTTCGTGAACACCTCGTCCACAGCGAGGTGTTCACGAACATGACCAACAGGTCGAAAAATCTCCCACTACACATGCCATCCTGCTGGCTATGCCAGAACCTTACACATGCTGCTCGATGCGAGCTCATTGACTTTACATTAAGACCAACTTTACTGGTTCTGCTTGTCTTCTGGCTCTGTTGTTATGTAACTGTGTATGGCTGTACCTGATTGTGTTTAATACGTCTGCAAATACACCCTGTGGACAGCTGGCTGACTCTGCCGTCGTGGTGGCCCCTCGAAAGCCATGTGCCAGCACTGGAGAGTCCCGACTGTTATGTGAGAAATTCTGTATTAACTGTTTGTCGTTCTTTCGATACTGTGGACAGCCGGCTGACTCTGACGTTGTGATGACCCCACGAAACCCACGTGTCAACACTAGAGAGTGCTAGTGGCGAGTGTCATGCGTAACTGTTATTCCTGTAACTGTCATAACCATGCTTTTTAATTACATGTACTGTGTCATGTGATTGCCAGATATCTGCCATCCCTGTTAATCATGTTTCAGGCCTCGAATTTCCTGACGGCCACGATGGCCATGACCGTCGCTGCCCTCCCATTTGGCTGTGGTGCCTCCAAAAAGTGATTGTGTTTCACTGCCAAGATGGCAGTGCCCTTTTTTTTTTCTTGGCCGTAGTGCCCTACACATGCCTATCAACTGCCCCCGTTCAGCGAGGCACAAAGAAAGCAGCATGGAAAGCGACATACTCATCTTTCCGTGATCGTTCACATTCAACCAGAACATCACGCTGTGCCGCCCAATTGCGCCGCACGCATGCAGATATGCAGAAGTTGCGGGGGCGGGGGAGAGAATTTTTCACTTCAGCCATAATTTTTACAATGTTATCAGTCCATTTGTTTTTAAGCTTTAAGTATTCCCTGAAAGATACATGTAAACAAACCGTTTTACTAAAACATACAACAAACCGTTTTGAAACAGCCCAATCCCGTACTATATTAACCTTTTAATTTATAGTGTGGCTGGTGTATTTGAGTTGTCCTTGAGTGTCTTTGTGTTTTTGTGCTCATTGTAAGCGTCATGTAGAGTCTGTAGTTTGTGTAGTGTACCAATAATGAAAATAACAAGTTTTGTCATCAAGAAGTTTCAGCTATGGCAGGATTATGGCCAGGGGAAATACATGTATACACATGTATTTAAACATGGATGGGTTTTTTACCACAATAACTCTACTTTTCTGCAAGAAATTTTCTCACTGCCACACACAAATAAACTACCGGTATTGATAAAGAAAGATAAATGCAACGGGTGGCAAGTTCTAATACTTACACTGTGTCATTGCTGTCCCATTTCCGAATTAATTTGCAAATCAAGCATTAAAAAGCACTCAACAAAATTATACATGGGTAATTCCGAAATTAGGGTCCAAAAGTGTGACATTTTTGTGTCCCTGTTAGAGATAACCTTTGTTATTTGACATGGAAATACCACTGGAATTAATGTCAAACTGCTACTATTTGTTTGGCAGGTAATTTGCATTAATTCATCACTCTTTGAAATTAGAAAATGTGTTCTGAACTTACAAAAATCATAATGTCAGATGCGACTGGGACACAAAAGAAAAATGGACCCCTAATTCTGGAATGACCCATATTTGATCTGTTTATGAACTACATGTAGTTACTTTAGCTTCTTCTAGTGAGGGTACAGTACATGTACATGTACATGCATATAAATGCGGATATTCAAGGTTTCCGAGAAGTTCTGTAATTTGATTCTAAATCAGTTCCAGATAACACTGTCCCAATTGGAACTTACAATCTGGCTGTCTTGTAGTCAAATGAATAGATTGGAAATTCTTGTTTAAACAAACACTTACTGGTATTTCTGTTTCTTTGAAATGTGTCAGATACATGTAAATATGTAGGTATATGTACTTGTACTTCTGTTAAATATAACAGAATATGTTATGTCTGTATAATGTCGGGGTTATATCCTGGGTTTCTCTCCGAGCAATCCTCATTTGGATCCGATTGAAAATACCTTTGGTAATAAGTTTGAACAAAGGGCACAGCTTGACTCTAGTGCTGGGGTATATCATGCAGACAACAAGATTATGGAGACTTGTATCCTGATTAACTTAGTTTGTATGGGGGAACTGCAAAATTTTTACTGCTCAGGGTAGGGACAGGACAACATCTAATATTGCTGTCAGTATTTAAGTCTTGAGAATGGCTGTAACTATCATCAAATCTTTTGAAATCAGAAAAAGGGTATAAAGTCCATTAGGTAAGTATCCTTGAACTCATGACATCGCAGTACACAGTATCGAGAGTCCTATGAACTCTCAGTGTTGTGAGAGAATGACTCATGAAATGCATGGAAAGAAATTATCAGTGCTTTTAAATCTGTTTTTTTAAACATTATTGATAGCAAAAAGATTACAGTTTTGGCTGATGAAAATAGCAACATATTCATTTTGCCTTTTTTTTTTTGGGGGGGGAGGAGTTTGTTGAGCATGTTTTTCTGCAATCAAGTTTTCAATCTGGCATGAAAATTAATATCTGATGGCTCACAGGGAAAATTGACATGTGATCCCTGGTAACAAATCCCAAGGAGTCCGTTTCAGCTTTTGTAAGTGTCTTTTTTTCCTACTCTTCAGACTCAACAGCCCTCCTGCAAGCAGTTGTGTTTGTCGAAGATGCTGTTAAGTATCGTAGCATAAACCACAAGACAGACAGCGCATCCCTATGGTACTACCGAGTCTACTATTCCTGGCTTGTGCAATGGTAAGTTTCAAAAGAAGCCTTTTGCAAGTTAACTTTGACCCAAATCTGGTACACTGAGTTCTTAAAATTCATGTGAAAATAACACTTGAATTCTCCTTACTAAAACCACTGTTGGTATACCTTGTGATTCGGGGCAAGCTTTTGCTTAGTTTAAAGAGACGTCTTGCAGCAATACACTCTTCTCAATGGATAAGAAGGGCACAAGGGAACCAGTCCATTCCAGAGGTGGTGGTCGCTATGCGAAAGCTTGCCCCGAATCACGAGGTATAACAACTGTGTCTTTAGTCTGGGGAATTCAAATCGTTATGTTTATATGCAGTTGGATAACTCAGTGCACCAGATTTTATTCAAATTTAACTCGCAAATGGCTCATTGGGGAAAATGCCATGCTTGTCGTTCAAGTGGAAAAAAAGGTGAAAAACAGCTATGTTAAGATACAATGTACGTGTAGAAGCTGAGCCTTTAAGCCAGCATTTTAATTTATCAGTTTGCTCCAATTTTACCTGTGTCCTGTGAACGTGCCACTTGTTGTGTTGTTGTGCTTTGTCTTTGTCTGGTAGGAGTGTTCAGAGAAATTTAGGTCGTTGACTAAAAATAGCTTTTAATAGGCACATTTTAATGAAGTCCAGGGGAACAGGAAATTTAAATTCTACACCGATTGTATTGATGCATTTTCCCTTTATATTGTGGGAAGACAATATAAAAATGTAACAGTCACAAATTGTTATTGAATTTCAGTTGATACGAAAGGAAGAAAAAACTCAAAACATCAAACATAAAGACTCTGAATGCTGGGGTGTCAGAAAAAATTCAGAAATACATTCATGTGCTGTTTGAATCCTTTTCCTTCACTGATTGTAGGACCCTCTATCTTGCCATCACCACCATCCTGACTGTAGCCTTCTTTGAATACCCCTCCTCGCTGACGACAGGCAATACTGCCGATCCACGATATCGCGGAGAGCGCAGGAACCCACCATGCGGTGTCACAGAGGCGATCGAATTCACCTGCCTCCTCATCTTCACCGCTGACCTGGTGATGAAGGTACATTGAAGGCTGTCTCTTAATTGGGTGTGGTGCATTAAAACCCTGGTTTCAACGGAGCAGTGATGAAAGTTTCACCATGTCACCAAATGTGGTCATAACTTTTTTCCAATTGGGCCAACTTGGCAAAGATTCCATATTGTCCTCACCTTAGGCATACACAACAAGCCTGTAGACTCCCATTGGCCAGACCCCAACCACTGCAGGGTAAGGAATGTTGAAAGATCAGTAACCCCAAGACGCTCATATGACCGGGAAATGACCTGGTAGTAAAAAACATCCACCATGCTGCTCGGAGTTATTTTGGGGACGTGGCTACAAATGTACTTCCACATCAGCAAAATGAAATGTAGTTAGAGAAGGGACCTGAGGGATGTATTGGCTACCATAAAACAGTCATTTAGATTCAGGCATGACCGGGAACTCAGGGAACTGATGAGGGGATGATTTTCTCTGTGTGGAAAAAAAGGGCCCCCTTATTTTGGCGTTGCGGCTCCAAGGCGCATGTAATGAAAAAGTACTCCATCGCTAAGAGTAGAATGGCTGAACAGCAGCTTTGAAACACTAGAATACTAATATTGGGTCAATATGCATTGGATTTTTGACAAACTTTTCGGTATGGACACGTTGACAGTGAAAATCATAGTAACTACATTAACTATTTAAATGGCTCATTTAGACTCAACAACCTTACCTTTGAGCTCAGAGGTACATGTACTCATTTATCGCTGGGTTGAGAGAAGCGATTCCCGGCAAATTGGCACATCGGCCTACCTGTTAAGGGCTGGACTTCAGAATGGACCCACAGTTCAACACTGCAGACTATTGTGCCACAAGAATCCATCTAAAAGCATTTAGCTCCCCCCCTCCACTTGATACATGCATTTTTAATATTATGTAAAATTGATAGCGTGTCACATTTGGTGGCAGAAATTTTTATACACTGTGTGCACCTGTACAGATGTACATGTACATACAAGTACATCATATGTCCTTACCTGTATGCGTGACTTTCAATTGCAACATGTACACTGAAAATACATGTATTAATAACAATGAGCATTTATAAAGTGCACCAATCCACCGAGAATCAGGTGCTTATGGCACTACAGAAGTGAACGTAAATTATTGCAGTTATGTGCTGGAAAAAAAAACTGATTTGTTACAAGCTAGCACCGTAAGCAAGGTTATAAAAGTATCTCTTGAGTGCAGTTTTGAAAGAGATGACATGGCTGAGAGATGTAGTTGGGGAAGAGGTTTGGAAATCGGGACTATTTGGCTCCCTTGTCTGACTTCTTTTCCCTCTTTCTGCATGTGATCTCACGCATAGCTGGGGCACAAGATGAAAGCACAAGGATTTTAATAAGATGAAATACTTTAGGGTTTAGGGTGATGACATTACCAGATTTTATTTTTCAATTCTTCTTACTTTTGGGGAATAACAAGCCCACCAAACTTCACCTCTTGAGACCTGTTGGATGTCTTCAATGGGCAACCTTCTTACCCTTGGAGACAGGCAACTGTAGAAAAGTGTCTTGATTCCTATCATCAACCCCACCCCTCGCTTACTTGGATCAAATCAGACTAGACCACACTAACTATGTGGTTCCATTACTTACAACTGTTACTACTGGACAGAAATGCTGCTTCAAAATTCTACTTTGATGGCCAGTTTTACATCTCAATTGCTTCAATTTTGTGGGATTTCTCGCCTGATCAGCTTGCTTTCTGTTTTTGACAGGTGTATCTCATCGGTACAAAACAGTTCATAAAGTCTCCGTGGCTAATAGCTTATGTACTGGTCATCGTCGCATCTCTGGCAGACTGGATTGTTACAATAAATGGCTCCTGTGGCAAGGTAAAGTTTAAAATCAGTAACACTCTTGGGGAAGCCCTCATTGTGTGTGCAGCATGAAGGAAAGTGATGCCAAAATGTGTTGTTAGTTGGATTATGAACCCACCATCTCTAAATAGTGCAATTTTAGACGAAAAATAAAGGGGAAAAATTGACATTGTTTTTCCGGATGGCAGTTGTTCTGTGTTTTGAAAAAAAAAGAACTAGTTTCAATTTTTTCCTCTGACCCTAGATGAGTTAATTGTTTGGGATAAATCGAACTTAAGAATTTTACTTTTAATTTTTTCCACCCTCTGACCCCACAAAATTTCACGCTGTGTTTGTAATCCAATAAATAAAAACAATGCTGGCCTGACTGACTTGGCCTATTGGATTGATAGGGGAACTATGCTGACGTAAAGAGGGATTTGTAATCGGTGCTAAAACTGTTTACACTGTATGACACTGTGCAGTTTAACTCTCAGTACTTCTTAAAGAATTTGGCATTCAAATTTTTCTGTCTAGGGGTAATCACTGTCTCAAAGCTAAAAAGTAGCTGAGTTTCACAAAGGGAAAAGTATCTTAATTTTTCTTCAGTGCATTATTAATGTGGATGTGGTCAGTCCAGTACCTTCAGAATAACAACTTAATTTGGGGGGTTTGTTCTGTCGATTGACAGATCATTCGGTTTCGTCGCATGCTCCGTCCGTTCTTCCTCCTGCAAAACTCGACCCTCATGAAGAAAACTGTACGAAGCATCTGTCGCACACTCCCCAAGGTTGCAAGGTAAGTTTAAAGTGTCCATGTTTCGTATTATTAGAGATTCTGTTGCAACAGACAGTTTGCTTTTGTTGGGTAGTTGTAACAGGTCATTTACTCCTCACACTGTTATTGTCATAACAATGACATGACTCACAGTGCCGGCCGTGAAACTTTTTTGCTTTCAGTTTCGCCTTCCACAAGTTCATATGAACTTTCATCCTTTGTTTGATTTTCGTTCCTTATTTACTTACGGGAGCCTTGGATAAGCTGAAATCGAAAATGAATGCTGCACCGTGTTTGTTTTGGAGATGTACCAGCAGATCTGTATTGGAAGATGTCGACTTCTTGTTTGGTCAAAATTGCCAATACACTGATGCTACAAATTTGACTTTGCATAAAGGATGCTGTAGTAAATTTGTACTTGCATTGGAGTCTGTACATAATAACCATATCAGTGAACACAATGGCAAAAAGTTACCACTGTGGAAGACTGGTTCCTGGCTTTGCACCCGTGCCTTGGTGTGTTGCACTCACATAAGGATGGTACATTTTTTTAGTGCATTCAGTAGAAAGCATTTGTAGCACACAGTCTGCGTCGTGTACGTACATGTAGGCATACAAGTAAAAAGTGTAGATGGGAACCAGTGCTGGAAGAGTGTATTGTTCTTGGGTATATGCAACACATACAGACTGTGTATGTAGTCTTTGGTGTCCTTGGGTTCATATGGTCCTTTGGCAGATAATAATGTGGCCTAGTACAGTTCCATGTAGTTAGGATTTGTAACTCCTCATCAAAGGGTCAGGGGTTTGAAACCAGTCCCTGTTTGCATCTTGCGACCTTGGGCAACTCCCTTCAATACATGCACATGCAAGCTGTACTTGCTTCAGTGCACCCAGGAGTATAATTGAGAAACCGATGGTGGAGGAGATACACCTTATTGTGTTTGATTAGCTGTTTGTGCATGAAAACTTAGCATTCAGCTTTATACTTCAAGGGAGCTCAGCTGGTTTGGGGATTGTCGGTGGTTGCGGTGTGCAAGTAGTGCATGAAATGTACATGTACACCTACTAGTACATGTACTGGCATGAACAGGTTTTGTTCGGCCTGATTGTGGTCATTAATTATTATTATTATTATTATTAATATTATGGGACATATACCACACCAAGGTCTCGTGAGAGCACATGCCAAAGTAGAGATACCAACAGGATTTTGCTTTGGTTTCTTTACCTTTGTTCTTCCTGAGGACATTTTGTTGGACCACATCTGCCTTTTGTGTCTGATTTCTGACCTTAATTTCATACTCCGTGTAGGAATGATAATATTGCAGCTCCTTAATTAAACACCTGTACCAGAAGACCATGTACATACATGTATAGGTGCACTTTATAAATACACAAACAATTGTTGGGCTTTTACTTTCTTGTCAGACTGTTAACATGAGTCACATACCTGCCAATTGTGACAACTTCTAAGTTTTCAAAGGTCTGAAAATAGAAACATTCTGGGAAGAAAAGCAAAAATTTGTTAAACATCTCCCACACTGCACACTGTCTGGGAAATTCACTGGTTCCCGATAAACATGTACATGTAGATTTCCAGGGCACGTTGAGCTTGAAGAATGTTGGTGAGTAATAGTGAACCGCAGAACATTTACTTCGTGGGATTGAGTGTGAAATCACTGCCACACAGGCACACAACAAGGCACAGCTTGATACATATACAAACACCCAACAGCTGTTTCACGTAAACACATTCAGCGGTATACACACAGCTTCATCACACTTGTCCAGTTGCTTGTCCAGTCATTGAAGAAAAACAGCATTGAAATCTACTTGCTTTCATTGTCTGTTGCCAGATCAGAAGATCCCGACGTGTTCAGTGATCGGTACATGTAGTAACTGAACGGTAGCAAGGAGTAAGACAAGGCGCTTGCACTATGCATGCGCTCTGTGTCCATTTTCTGAGTTTCCAATGCTGGCAGGTATAGAGTAGCGACTAATAGCTTCCCTTTCCTCTGCAGTGTACTCTTGCTTCTACTCATCCACTTGTATTTCTTCACCATGGTGGGCATGCTGATCTTCCCTCAGCCACAGGTGAGTCTGTTAAACTGTGACTGGGTTATATGAAGACGGGATTGATTTTTCAGAAAACGTCTTGGTTGGTTTAAAAGCATGAAGTAAAATACTTGAAGAGTAACTTTTGAGGCCTGCTTTTTCCATTCTTAGGTCTGTACATTCCAACATGACAGTATGGCTGGAAGTTTTGGTTCAGTGGTTTAAAATTTAAGAGTAGCAGCATTTAAGTCTTTTCTTAGAAAACAATTTTCTGCAACTTTATACTCTTCTCCAATGTATGAAAATTATTTGGCATCCGTATTAGGTTTAAGACATTGAAAGTGCATTGATTAAAATTATCCATGCTTTCCTGACTAACTGAGGGCACTGTAGTGTGATGTTATCTTGGGTTGACATGGTTCAGTGCACAGGCTTTCCTGTTGTGAATCCCGAATTTCTCGCTGATAACATTTCTGCAAAAAGGTTACTTCCTTGCTTCGTGCTGTGTACTTACACAACAGTGAATTATCAAAAAACATTCAGACCTGCAAAATTCAAAGAAAAATTCAGCAGTTTTGGTGCAAAAACCAATGTAACATGCAGGTTTTCTTCCCAGGATGACATCATAGTTTTACTCATGAATATGGAAATATCATTTGCATAAAAGCCAAAAAGGTAGCAAAATGCCCTTCGAAAGTGTGAAGCAGAAATCGAAAATACAGTTAACTTGGACACAAAAGTGCAGTTCGCAGGTTTGTATCAATAAACAATTCCACTGCAGAGACCCTTGAAGTACTATGTTATGTCAGTAGGTACCTGTCAGAAACATGCATCTGAGCGCATCAGTGACTTCCAAAGTCTGGCCCAAAGGCTCTTGTGTCATTTGTGCAGGTGTCATCATTTCCTGATGAGGAAGTCATATGTTGTAGTGTATATTGAAGCACATACTGCCAAAAAAAGTTTCATACATGCCGTGTTTGCCTACTTCCAATTTAAAGATTGGTTCATAATGTATCAAATTCTCAGTCTCGGGAAATACAGTGTATCCCTTTTCCTGACTTTGCAAATGGTTTTGCAGATGAAGGAGCACTCATTTTATTTAAAGCTTACAGGTCATGTCCAAGGTTATAAACAACCTTCAAGTTATATGGGTCATTGTTGTGAGTTGTAGAATGTGGTAACTGACAGTCCAAATTGAAAAAAAAAGAACATTTTTGTATTGTTTCAACAAATCCAGAAATTCACAAAACACAATGTTTATTGTGTCATGCCTGTGTGTTGCCATATTTCATTCATTTGTTTACTTGTTCCAACTGTTTCCTAAAAAAAGTCCTTGCTAGTGGCCTCAAAACTCTTGTGCCAACACAAACAAAGGAATTAATGTGCAAAAAATTATTTCAAGGGGATAAGACCAGCACATGGTACATGTATTTTGATAGGGTTCAAAGTCCAATTGATGAATCATTTCAGTACAATACGGGTACCTACTACTACTGAACCCAAGAGATATGCACGTTTATGGAGATTTGCAGCTGGGTCATTCCACGAAGTTCGGGCTCAGTTTTTGACAGCATCGCTTGTTACATCGGTGAAAATAAACATCTTTTTTCCCCGCATGTGGATTCTAAATTGACATTGTTCTAAATCTTGCTAAGTTCTTGTAGTGGAGTGCTTCGTCTTTGCCGAATAATAATGACTTAATCTGTTGTAATGTGAAAATAATGGGCAAATAAAAGTTACCGATGTAACAAGGGACGCCGTCACAAACTGTGCCCGAACTTCATGGAATGACCCAGCTCTCAAATTGCAAGGAAGTCAAGTAAAAATAGGTACATGTAATTAGAAATTACTTTAAAGTGAATTTTTCATGTTCTGTGACTCTTCTCTACTTCTACTGCATGTGATAAACTTCCATGGCCATTTGTTACATGGATTTAAAACCATAATTTTTGGGTTGTATTTTCAGCATCGTTTACAGCCTGATATTCCAGGGTCCACAGTTGTCCCAACGACAGTCAAGGTATTTGGAAAATAAATTAGGTATTAAAGATACATTGAGACAAGTTGTTCAGACAAACATAAAACATACGTGAACATGTGCATGTACAACCCCATGATAGAGTATAAATTAATTATGAGAAATATAAACAGATAAAGTCTATCTCTCTGTCCTCAGGGCAAACCTACGAATCCACCTTTATCAACAGCTCAGGTAAGATACGGACACCATTGTGTTGTTCATTCATGGCGACATTTTAACCCCTTTCATTGCTAGCCATTCAGTGCAATTCAGGTTCTGCCTCCCTGCTTTTGTCCCTGGTGTTTGCTTGCACAGCTAGTATTCATTGCCTCCGTTGGAACATACCACACCTTGTATAACCTGTCACAGTTTCAGCAAACTTGGAAAAATGTAGTTGGAGATTTCTCAGACTTATCGGTTGTGTTTTTTTTTTTACTTGGTTTTGCTTATATAAACTATTTGAGGAGATGCCATCACTGTGGTGGCACTGCACTGTGCACTCACATGCGCATTCTGCAGCTTGACACGTGCGTGCATTTGGCCAATCACGACATCCTATCGGTCGATGAAGCAAAGGTGCACGTACCACCTGTCCACAAGTGCTGTGCACCACTGTAACGGCTTCTAATTCTGGTTTCTAAATTACACCATACCAAAAGGTCAGAACGGGTGATCCAAAATATTTTTTTTTAATTCACAAATGCATGAAGCTTGGTGGTTTGGCAGATGATACTGCAGCAATAGTTGTGTTGAGTATTGTCCTTTGTCACCTAATGAAGATTTACCGGTTCACAAGAACATGTAAGTATGAATTCAAGAGTCTACTTAAAATGTACACCAAAGAAACCCAGTCTGAAACACGTTTGTGGAACAGGAGATGCTAAACCATTGAAAAATTCTGCTCTGTCAAGGGGGAGGTCACAAATCACCCTGGTCCCGATCCATACCTGGAGTCGCAGAAGTTCTTCAAAGACATCCTGACGGGCTTTATGAGCATGCTTGTCCTGTTGACCACAGCCAACCACCCAGATGGTAAGAAGGATTGGAATTTGGATATTCCAGGATTTCTTTTTTCATTCAACTTTTCCTTAAGTGTCCACCACCGGTTCTTCTCAGAACCAGACACTCATAAAAGAGATATTTTTTTGTACATGGTGCAACTGCAAGCGTACTTAACTTTTCCTTAACTAAACCAGTTATCCGCTTTACGTCACTCGACGTCTAAACGTGCAGGGACTTCCTGTGTCGAATTCGGAGGGTGTTTAAACACATTCTGGTGACATTCAGTATGTAGTGCTTTGTTATGTCTACACTCGTTTGCATGCTTGAAAGGTTCCCATTGAGTTTGTACACACACAGGCGTGAAATAATCCATGGAGGTCATGGAGGTTCAAAAGCCAATGAAATCACAGTGTCCAAAAGCCCAAGTGACTTGTTCACTCATGTTCTTACAAGCTGTGTATTATTTAGTCCTTTCAGATTCCAGTGGTGTGGCATTATAGCTTTTCCTTTTTGTTCTATTTCAGTGGCAATGCCTGCTTACATGCTCAATCGGTTCTACTGTCTCTACTTCATTGTCTTCCTGGTTATTGGTGAGTTTCTGGAATGTTTTGACTTGGTACTGTGGTACAATATGCTAAAGATTTTGTGTCTACACTAATATGAGCGAGTATTATTAGTGTGCCTCCAAGAGTTTGCAGCACGTTGGCCAATCACGATGCGCAAATCTGTCGACCCAATGCGCATTTTGAAAGAGTCGACAGATTTTGTGCGTTGTGATTGGCCAACACGTTGCAAACTCTTGGAGGCGCACTGTTGTGAATCGCCCATATTCACCAAGCAGAATTTGGAAACGTTACTGTATTGAACAGTTGGTGCACATACCATGCTTACATGCATATTCAACCAATCCGCCCCGAGCTGAAGTGCACCCCCAATCGGCAAAAGAAAGACAGGTGGTTACAAGTGGGTTCTTGTACGTGTTCTGCGTGCAGGCAAAGGCCATACATGCCAGAATAAATTAGTTACAAATACTCAGCATGCTCCACATCAAACGTGCCTATGTGGTGAGTACCACGGCAAAAAGACCACACCCTCTTTTGATCTGCTCGGAGTGGATAGGGTGTTATGATTCATCTCCATGCACACACCCCTTTAATTGAAGGAAGTGCAGATGAGTGTGGTGCCTCTCCTCAAATTAGTCAATTAGTTGAAGCCCTTGCAAGTTATTACGTAATAAGCAGTCTGTCAATTTCAATCAAATTGTATACACTCGTACTGAAAAAGGCCTCTTCACCCTCATTCCTATGGCATTTGTTGTGGGAGCTTTCCTGAATCCCCAAAGTCATTTACCGGAACCCCATGGCACTTTCTTTGCTACTAGTCTTCTAAAGGGGCATCAACCCCCCGTCAAGAAATAGTGGAGCTGTGTCTTCCTCAATTCGGCAAAAGCCTCTGGGGCCTCTGAGCTAATTTCTAAGATTCTTTGAAAGGCATGGTTGATAGGAGCTATGTTACAGGTACAATTCGGTTAAAACAAGTTGGGGTTCATTTGGGGGAGGGTGGTTTAAGAATTGGAGAATTTTTGATGACGTGGTAACATCTTGGCAAAAGCAGGGTACTGAAAATTCTTCTGGGTTAATTTTTCCTCCGTTGCTTTTTCCCCTTGCAGGACTGTATTTTTTCTTCAACATGCTAACAGCCGTGATTTACAATGAATTCAGAGGATACCTTCTGGTATGTAGTCTGGCAGAAATAAATACAAATAAGATATAATGTGGCCACCTGTTTTTATAACATTGGAGGGAAGTTAAAGCAGCCAACTGTCTGAAGAAAGAGGCTTGGTCGGTATTAAAAACCCACGGCTAGTTGGTGGTATCCTGCATTCAATTTCCCAGCCATGTGGCAGTTCTATGGTTCAGAGTATCCCCAGAACATGTAGAACAACTATAAGACTTCCTATGGTAGTGATTACCAACCAGTTTGTTTGTGGTACCCATGCTATAACTTGTACGACAGATGAGTGATTCATTAACTATATGCTTTAGAAGTGCCAACAGTTACTTTACTGATCACTTAAAGAGCACCTCCAAGGAAAACATGTTTTCTCTGATTCGATCTGTTCAAATAAATATGGAAGTATCCAAATTGAACACAGTGTCAATTGTCTTCAGAACTCAACTATAATAAGCTAAAAAAGGCTTTTTTCTGTTCATACCAAGATGAGAATTCTGAATGTGCCATTGAGGAGAAAATAGAGGGGAACCCTCGTAGTGGATAATCTCTTATGCATGCCAAACAATGCATGTAGGCATTGTTTGGCATGCACAGGGGTTTTAGAGCCAAGGTTGTTATAGTGTGCTGTGGAGAGGAGACAGTGAGAAGCACTCACAGTTTTAGAGATAGAAGGAAAACCCTCAGAAGGGTATCTAGCAGAGACTGAAACTCAGTCCACATGTAGGCCAAGCTGGGAATTGAACTTGGCTTGCAGAGTTGAAAGGCAAAGAGAAAACCATTACATCAATTCACTGATCTGCTTCTTTTTTCTTGTCCTGTTCTTCCTCTGTTTCCCCAGCGCTCCATACAGAGCAGTTTCCTTCGACGCCGTCTGGGCTTCCAGGCCGCCTTTGAGATGCTGAGGAGGCAGGGGCGTCTGACCCTCAACACGGCTGGTGTTAGCATGGCCACAACGCTGAGTGTCAGCGTGGTCAAGGCGGTCATCCTGCAGACTGATATCAAGAAGAGTGCCAAGCATGCCATTGTTGCTGTGAGTTCCCCCCCCCACCCTACCACCAAAAATTAAACAGAAATATTCTCTTGAGGATCTTGCTTTTTTTTCGGGTATGGCATTTTCTCCCCAGTAGGAAACATATCTCTTTAATAGGTGTTTTATGACAGCAGGTGTCTGACATCACAGCACAGAACACTTTGTTGTATGATGTTAAGTCAAAACATCAGAGGCTGCCATACAACTTTTTCTCGGTAAAGAAAAACATTCATTCGTCAGTGTAACTTTGAACACTGCAAGGTTTTCTGCTGCATATGACATTCAAAGCTTCAAATGAAGGAGCAGTCTGACTCCTGCTTGTTTGACATGCTGCACCTTAGTAATTCCAATGATGTGCAAGGCAGCCATTGGAATCAGATAAATAACGCCCAAACTGATAGTAGTTACAAAAAGGGATACTGCTTATGAAACTTGACTCAAACTCATCCAGATACTGAAATCCCAAGTTTTAGTCAACCCAATCTTGATTGATTGAGAAAAACATACAGATGTTAATTATATATAAAACGGTTTTTGCCCTTACCCAACGTATATTAATAAGCACTGTATGCTCAGTGCTTGTCCGAGAGCTTGCGAAAAAAACAAAACCTCAC